CATATTGGGCTTTGACTTCAGCAATGATGCTGTCCAGGTCCAGGGTGCGGTTGTTGTCCATGGAAAGGACGACAGAAGTATCTGACACGTGGGTTTGCATCTGAGCCAGTTCTGCTTCATAGAGGGCTCTGAGGAAGTTGATCTCATCTATGAGAGCGTCTGCCTTGGCTTGTAGATCAACCTTACTCATGTAAGCAACATCCACATCCTTCTTTAGATTCACAAATTCATTCTCTGCTGACATGCGCTTGTTGATTTCATCTTCATATTTCTTCTTGAAGTCTTCTACCGTGTCCTGCATCCCCCTGAGCTCTGAGTCCAGACGGCTTCTCTCTGAGACAAGGCAGTCCANAGGGCTCTGAGGAAGTTGATCTCATCTATGAGAGAGTCTGCATTGGCTTGTAGATCAACCTTAGTCATGTAAGCAACATCCACATCCTTCTTTAGATTCACAAATTCATTCTCTGCTGATGTGCGCTTGTTGATTTCATCTTCATATTTCTTCTTGAAGTCCTCTACCGTGTCCTGCATCCCCCTGAGCTCTGAGTCCAGACGGCTTCTCTCTGAGACAAGGTAGTCCAGGTGTCCCCTGAGATTGTTGATGTACTGCTCGAACAAAGGCTCCAGGCTCTGCCTCACGGTCTTTGTGCCCTGCTCCTGCAGCAGGGCCCACTTGGTTTCCAGGACCTTGTTCTGCTGCTCCAGGAATCGGACCTTGTCGATGAAGGAGGCGAACCTGTTGTTGAGGGTCTTGATCTGCTCCCGCTCCTCAGTCTTGATTCGCTGGATGGTGGGGTCGATTTGCAGGTTGAGGGGAGTCAGGAGACTCTGGTTGATGGTGACCTCTTGGATGCCTCCAGGGGGGCAGATGGAGAAGCCAGAGCCCCCATAGCCACCACCAAAGCCAGCTCCACCACCGAGCCCAAAGCCACCATCAGCTCCACTGCCGAAACCAAATCCACTCCCGGCTCCACCTCCAAAGCCAAGGCCGCCTCCAGCTCTGCCGCCATATCCGCCACCGAAGGCACAGCTGCCCCCTCCGAGGGAGATCCTCTTGGAGCCCCCTATGCCATAGAGGCTGCGGCTGCCAAAGCTAGCTCCTGCACCCACTCCAGTGAAGCCTCCACTGCCCCTGGAGCGGCACACGGACATGCTGCTGAAGCCAGAGCGGTTGACCCCAGGGACTCTAGCTGAGCCGGCACTGAAGACACGGCGGCTGCCGCTTTGGCTTCTCACGGTGGAGTTGGAAGTCATGGTTCCTGAAGTCGAAGAGGCTGAGGAGGGCGTGAGAGGTGGAGGGTAGAGCTGAGAGGAG